CTATCTCTATGAATGTGGTCATCAGTATAAATTAAAAGTCAATCTAGGTAACAGGGCAGCAATAAAAAATGAGGTCTAACCCTTTTCCACTTTATGTCCAATTAAAGATAAGTTTCAGCTGTACATACACTTACATTTTTGCAAGTTATGTTCTTCTGAAAACTGTGCAGACAGCCCAGAAACACCATTAGCTCTATGCTGTCAGAGAAATTGCAGGGGCTGAAGACATTGAGCCATTAGTACCATTGCACTCCAGTTCCAGTTTACAGAGAGGTGTATCTCAGAAAGCACAGAATGGAGGTAAGTGTACACTTATCCCCCCAAAAAGTTTACTCCATAGAGAAGTTTCCTGGAGATTTCCTTTAACTTTGCCTATTTGCAATACATTTGCAAATATACCTTTGTGCAGAAAGAACAGAAAAAAGCTTCAGAGATCATTGAGAATGTGATGCCTTTGATCAGCAACTCCTCACTGTTAGGAGAAAGTGATACGTTGATGATTTTTTCTTAGACCGGTCACAAAAAAGGCTTTAAACTGCTTAGTTTGCAGCATAGCCTCTCCACATACACACATTGCTTACTTTTACAATTCACTGGAGTGGGATCTGATTTACAAACACACAGCTGCTTCCTGAATGAAAAAAAGAATATATACACAGTGCATAAAAACCAAAGGTTCTAAGAACACAGCAAGTTCTTTACTGGAATTTGTGCTGAACATCTGGGCTCAGTCAGGCAATTACTGTACAACTCTTTCTATGCTGGATGCTGGTTGAATGGAATCCCTTTCTAGTAATGAAAGTTTCTTTTAGTGAAAATTTACAGTATTATAACTGAATGAGCTTTAATCATAATGTACTAAATATGTTACAGGAAAGGGTTGTTGGAGGCGCTATTTCTTACATTTAGCCTGATTATGCAAATGAATACTTAAACTACATTGATGTAGGTTTTCCTTCAAAAGCATTCCCCATTGGAATACTCATATAAGGTCTACAACTTATGTACCCCTTTATACGGCCCCATACACAAAGACCTCTATAAGTGTTGCTTGATCTGTGCTTCTAACGACTGTAGGAGCTTTCAAGACAAAGGGGCTAAAAAGGGTTAATTAAGCAGAATGTGTTAATACAAGAGCATTAGGTAATGTATCCAGTATAAGAACGCAGATAAACAAATGCAACATCAGTTCTATTGAATGGTTTGTCCCAACTTCCTTCTCAGAGGGGTTTAGGGTGTATGACCCAAGGAAAATGTCTGATTCATTCCCGAGACTGTGGCTAAAACGCATGCTAAAGGGGTGCAGGAAGTAGCTTGTTGCCAATGTCTAATGGCTTCGTTGGAAACTTTCTTTGTTAGGTATTGTCTCCTTTACTACTTAACCATTCTACTGTGGACAGAGCAAGCAGAGGGTGCAAAAGTAGATGAACACAATGTAGATCTCTTCAGAGAAGGTATAATTTGGGCACAATGACACATCTCATTTGCTCCTTGTACTTGGGCATGTGACCTAATCTGATATCACATGACCAAATTCAAGAAAATATTCATCACCAGCAAACCTTTCTATAGCAAAGAAATATGTTTATTAGATGAACAAAGGCATCATAATGAAAATCCCAACATTTCAGGATTGTGAAAGGTCCCTTTAACAAGGTGTAGTGACAAAATGGAGGCCCATGCCTTTGCCTGCATCCCTGCCATTTACCATCTTTCCTTGTGTGCTATGGTTGCTACATCCCCAGCCATGAAAGTTTATTGTTCTGTGCCCTCCCTGGAGAAGGGAGCTAGTCACCCCCAGCTGCATCCCCTGCAAACACAGTTCCACATCACTGCAACTGGGTCCCAAACAGGGGTCCACGCCTTTGTTAAAGTGTAATAAAATGTAATATATTGCAGATTACTAGTCCTTGATGTCGTGGTTGCCTTTTCAAGCTTTTTTTTGCTTTAGTTTCTCCTGGTAATCCTACTGTCAGGAAACTAATACAGCTAATGCTAATTCTCATGCAGCTATTGCTCATTCTTGTGCAGCTAATGCTTGTGAACATGTACTAGCACACAGACAAGCTTGGGCTAACATCCAGCATGCACTGACACCTAGGTGAATTTGTGTGTCCCAGGGCACATTAGCACACACATCCTCATGCATTGGTACCAAGCTGCCTATTTAAAGGAGATCCTGCTGTGTGCTAATAGGTGGATGTTCTTCACCTCCCTGTGATGCTTGTTCCTGCTTTTGTTGACTGGTCTTCCATTGCTGACCTAGGTTGTTCCTGACCTTGCTTTGTGGATTCTGACCTTGGCTTGCCTCTGACTATTCTCTGCCTGCTTCCCTGGTGCTGACCTCGGCCTGCTACTGGACCTTGCTCTGTCTGATTCCATGGTACTGACCTTGGCCTGCTTCCTGACCACGCCACGGTCTCACCGTGTATGACCCTGGCTCTTCTTGATTACGTCCTTAACCATGGCAGTCACCTGCTATCTATCACCTGCTATAGTTACCAGCACCTGTGCTTCTTTGCTCCTCTATCACCACATTCAGGTGTGCTCAGACCGGAGCCGCAAGGGAAGCCTGCTTGTCAACTCGGCCTCCAGCCAAGGTACGTGACACCTGCAAATAACACACTTCCTGCCTGTCGGTGGTTATGTCAGTCCACTGTATCTATGGAGGGAGCCACGGTTGTTGCCCTAGGCTGCTTTCCCAATGTGGCCTACAGAAATATCTGCATATCTTCATCTCCATTATATGGGGCCTGGGCAATTGGTAGTTTATAGAAGAGGGCTAGAAAACAAGATATTCTTTTGTGCATCTCACAAAAATTGACAACGATACTCCATTTCTGTCAAGATCAACTGTGTTTGCTGAAAATGGTCTTATCTTAAAAAAAAGAAAAATATGCCAGCCACCATAAGGATAAAATCTATTACTTTCTTGTTTTTTTTTTTGTTTCAGTTATCCTTTAAATTACACAAAAAAAAGGGGAGTTTAAGCTCCCAGACACTATGGAATTGATATAACCATCAACAGGTAAAAAATGCTGTGTAAAAAAGGTTTTGCTTTGGACTGCTTCTGCTTTTCATATGATGCATTATTCTCCCACAGATTCTGTTTGCATACAAATACACATAAACATAAGTAATGCACATTATTTTACCATAAAATGTATGCAAGTTTAAAATGAACGTTTAGGCCTCATGCACACAGAGCTGAAAATATGACGCTTACACAGGCGTTGAGCTTCTTTTTTTTTCAGCCTGTAACAGCATCTCCATGAAAGTCTATGTGTCCATGCACACAGGTGTTTACAGTTGTATTAGAAGAAGAGCATTTACAGGGAGAAAAAAGCACGAAAGGTGCATTCATGAGAGAAGAATTTCAGCAGAAAAAACACGCCTATTCACCTAAACACATCCAAACATGCTTAAATGTGCAGTGTGTAAAATGTATGTGTATAAATGCATTCCAATGGCCAGAAAAAATTAATATTCTGGATAGTAGAATGCATTTATGCTCAAAGGCTATACACACATAAACAATACAATATGCAGCTATCATCACTTCTTTTTTTTTTGCCACAATTTCCTGCCAGCAGTTCTGGCATTCAGAGGGCCTTTTTAAGATGCCCCGTGTGCATGATACCTAAGAAACACAATGCTATATACTAGCTATAGTGAGGATCTTTAATAATTCTTGAAATATTTGCCTCTGACAACTACCGTAAGTAATATATTGTTTGATATCCTATTTTTAGCATGTAGTATGTGATGTTGCAGCTTGATGCAAAATGTTCTGCAGCTCCAGTCCTAAGCACTTAGTCCTACTATTAATCCAACAGGTTACTTTTTGTCCATTCATTGCTCTGGCATCTTTTCATGAAATAATAAATCTACACATCACCGGCACCGACCCACGGGTTCATTCAGAGTTATCCTAAATAGCGATCCCTAGAGCAATGACCTCTAACCACAGAGGTGAAGCTGAGCTTAATGGCTTTGAGAGTTGCAGACATGGCACATATTATTCACATATAACATAAATAAGCCAGGAAACCAAGAGGGATTGCAGCTTTTTGAATGAAACTGCATATGTTTTAGAACATGCAAAAATACTCTAAGTGATTAGACTTCTGGATGGCAGCACTAGGGTCGTTGGTTCGAAAACCAACCATAACACTACCTGCCTGCAGTTTGCATGTTCTCCCTGTGCCTGCGTGAGTTTCCTCTGGGTACTCCGGTTTCCTACCACACTCCAAAGACATGCTGGTAGGTTAATTGGATCCAAATTGGCCCTAGTATATATGTATGAATGAAAGTTAGGAACCTTAGATTGTAAGCTGCTTGAGAGCAGGGACTGAAGTGAATGTACAATGTATATGTAAAGTGCTGCGTAAATTGATGGCTATATAAGTACCTGTAATAAATAATTTGCTACATGGTTATATGTACCAGCAGCACTGGATGTATGTGCACAATATTGTCACTACAAGGACAGTTATTGACCTAAATCTAGCTGTCGGAGGAATGATTAAGTCACCCATCAAAACACAGGCTGGGTCTCAGGCTGCCTGAATTTTAACAGATATAGCCTTACCTACCATCTTTTAAAGGACAAAAAAAATGTGCAAGATAACTGCACAGGGGTGCCAATGCAATTACTGTGTAATCTGATTTTGCATCGTGCTCGATTGATTGCGAATAATGAAGAAATACAAAAGTCTGGGGATGTCCATATACAGTATGCAATGGTTATCAATGATTACCAATTATTTTAGATCTATAAAAAACTATTTCATAGGAAGTAATCAATGCAGACACATGTAAGTGAACTGACAACTAAGAACGATGATAAAGGGATGCAATCAATGTCTTATTAATTTAGAGCTTCTTATGAATAGCTCTAGTGTTTCCTGTGTAGGGTCTTAACTGAGGCCCTGTATACATCCAATTAGAAAAAAGAAAACATACTCTTTGCAAAGTCCTAAAGCCAAATCTGGCTTTAATTAGGACACATCACCATAGAGAATAATAAACCCAGCAGAGGGAACAGACCAAGAAACATAAATCTTTCCGCCTACTCTCCTGTAGGAGATGGGATGCGATGTTTTAACGTACCGAGGCAGCTTGAGCCACATGACCCAGACTGGTGACCATTCTCTGCTCTCAAAGCTATTCTGGACCGATTCCATTGACAGGGAGTTGTTGCTTAAGTCTTCCTCTGGCTCATATTCTTTTGTTTCCAAGGCTCTCAGAACCACACATGAGGAAGAAGGGTTTTTTAACAACGACACAGCTTCACTACGGCTGACTCCAGTTAGATCTATGCCATTGACGTTTAATAAAATATCCCCTGAAGATCAAACAAGATAAAGAGAGTTTATGTCAGTCACAGATCAATAACTCTTTCACATATGTGCTAAGACAAGTGTTATCAAACCATTGGCAGTAGTTCCAAGAATTCCATTACCTGTCTCCCAACTCGGCTGCATATCATCTATACCTTTGCATCTTATTTAGTAAGTTAGTGCAAAGATAATTACAATCATTCACAGGAACCAATAATTATTTCTGATTATCTGTTCTGGGTTGCATCATTGCACCATTCATTGCCTTACTGAATAAGTTAATGCATTGTTCGGTATCATTTGCCAGGATGAGGTGAAAAACAATCTTGGTGCAGATATAACCTAAGAGAGTACTAGGAGAGCAAGAGTCAATCTGCTTTACATTTCAAATTAGTATATACAGTATGTGCTGCATCCATATGCATACCAAACTGAAGAAATTGGTTATGGATGCAACCAGGACTCATGGGTTTTTTATATATATGTAATACTTGTTCATAGTGTACTGGCATAGATACACAGGCTGATGGTAAAAAGGTTATTCAGTGAGCAGCTTCTTTAATGAAAAAACATCTTTAAAAACATTCAAAACAAAACAATAAAGCACCACACTCCACAGATCCCATACTAAACTCCTAAGGTTGGGGAACATAGTGAACCAAACATTGAAATATGTATCATTCCATAGTAACTATATCAGCTCCATATTGCAAGGTAGAACCAATGAAGCCCCCATTGTAAAAGACAATTCATGAATTGTAGTGATGTGCCTTTCAAAGGGGACATGCGTGTTAGATGAAAAATATATATATATAACGTAAACATGCAGTCCAGAGGAGCAACTTGAGGCTATGTCTGGGTGAATCGGATGTGAGCAGGGGGGGGGGACAATTCTGGAACCGATCCCCTTTATGGCTCTTTCTGCAGCAGTAGAAAGCTGGCTTCTTCTCTCCCTCACGCTGGCTTTCACCTGCTGCAGAGAGAGCCATACAGGGGATCGGTAGTCATAATTGCCCCCCCCATCACCCTTCCTTATGCACTGTGCCCCCCTGTGCCCTCCACCCCGCATTGCTGCCGGCTGTCTTTCTCTCCATCCCACCAGAAGTTGAAAGCACACAATAGGATCCTTCAGGATGGAGAGTGGGGGAGGGGTCCAGTAAATGTATCAGCTTTACCAGTCCTTTCGTTTTCGGAATGAACACAATGAGTGATCGGTGCCAATTACTCACTGTGTTCACTCATAACTGAAGCATAGTAAACGTTTTTTTTTTTTTTTTGGAGGGGGTCAGGTTGGCTGTATGGGGCCCCGTGGTTTCTAACAACAACCCTGGTCACAAGCATAGAGGTCTCAGGAAGGGATAAGTCACTATTACAATAACTACTTTCTAGGTCCCAATAGGGAGCTTTCCCCTTACTTTTACTAATATAGAGAAGAGTTAGAACCTCTGTCAGGGTGTCCACATTCACATTGCCCTCACTTCCTGTGTGGTGGTTGCAAAAGGGACCTCGTAAGATCGCCCTGACAGGGACCTGGACAGCTATACATATAACTGCCAGTGACTTGACCTACAATAAAAATGACAGATGCCGCTCAAGGCTCCACCATGTCCTCTTGCATGACAAACCGCTAGGAGTACCATCAAGGACAGAGCTCATCCAGCTCAAATGATTCAGTAGGGGAAGACAGTCCTAAAAGTCACACATCACAGCAAAACCCTGTGGGGAAATTTGTGACAGGCTCAGCCCAGGCTCCAAACAGGCCACACAACCCCAACACGTTTCACTTCACCACCAGAGCTTAATCATGGGGATGGTTGGAGTCCGAGCTGAGGCTATCATACACTTCCTCACAGAGTTTTACTGAGATATGCAACTTTTAACCTCTTACCCTACTGAATGCCAGTGACTTTAACCCACATTGGCTTACTCCAAAACTAAAAAAAAAAGGCTCTACATTAGGTTCTATACTGCTTGGCAAATATAAAAGCTGGAAACCTAACGCTACTATCGGAGTGCTCTGGTTTCCAAGTCCTAGGTATGTGACATTCACCTAATCTGGAACGGGCCATTGCATTGCTGATAACTAATAAGCTGGGAGGCCATCAGTGGACATGCCTCATATAAGTTAATGGGTACAGCAAGGGTTTGTTCACACCACGTGCTTTGAGCTACGGTGATCTGCATTGATGAATACAGGCTCAACGGAAAGACACTCCAAAACAATTGCTGTGTATTTGCCCCATTCACGCCACACTAGTGAGTTGGTGTGTGTTGAGGAAAAATGTAGGCAGGCTGCATTTTACCCAGCACAATGCAGAAAAACGTGTGTCAACATGCGTCAATGCAAGCCTATCAATATACAAAAAAAATCTTAATAATTTAGGCCTTGTAGAGAGAAAAAAAACATTTAAAAAATGCAGGCCAACATGCAGTTAAATGTAGCACAACGTATCAAAAATGCAGGCCAATACGCAGTAAAATGCAGCACAACGTATCAAAAATGCAGGCCAATACGCAGTAAAATGCAGCACAACTTATCAAACATGCAGGCCAATACGCAGTAAAATGCAGCACAACTTATCAAACATGCAGGCCAATACACAGTAAAATGCAGCACAATTTATCAAACATGCAGGCCAATACACAGTAAAATGCAGCACAACTTATCAAACATGCAGGCCAATACGCAGTAAAATGCAGCACAACTTATCAAACATGCAGGCCAATACGCAGTAAAATGCAGCACAATTGATCAAACATGCAGGCCAATACGCAGTAAAATGCAGCACAATTTATCAAACATGCAGGCCAATACGCAGTAAAATGCAGCACAATTGATCAAACATGCAGGCCAATACACAGTAAGATGCAGCACAACGTATCAAACATGCAGGCCAATACGCAGTAAAATGCAGCACAACTTATCAAACATGCAGGCCAATACGCAGTAAAATGCAGCACAACTTATCAAACATGCAGGCCAATATGCAGTAAAATGCAGCACAATTGATCAAACATGCAGGCCAATACGCAGTAAAATGCAGCACAACTTATCAAACATGCAGGCCAATACGCAGTAAAATGCAGCACAACTTATCAAACATGCAGGCCAATATGCAGTAAAATGCAGCACAATTGATCAAACATGCAGGCCAACACACAGTAAAATGCAGAACAACTTATAAAACATGCAGGCCAATACGTAGTAAAATGCAGCACAATTGATCAAACATGCAGGCCAATACGCAGTAAAATGCAGCACAACTTATCAAACATGCAGGCCAATATGCAGTAAAATGCAGCACAATTGATCAAACATGCAGGCCAATACGCAGTAAAATGCAGCACAACATATCAAACATGCAGGCCAACACACAGTAAAATGCAGAACAACTTATAAACATGCAGGCCAATACGTAGTAAAATGCAGCACAACTTATCAAACATGCAGGCCAATACACAGTAAAATGCAGCAGTGCAACACATCAAAAATGCATGGCAACACGCTTTAACACATTTTTTTTATGCGTTTGTATCTGCATTGTGGTATGAACAAGCTCTAATGTGTTTTCAGCTTTAGTTTTCTTCCCAACACACAAGTCAGTTCCGTCCTTCCTTTCTTCTGCCTTCCCCTCTTCCTGTATCCACATCCCCTTTCTATCTGTATACTGTACACTATAGATATACAGTATATTCTCTACCACAGTCCAGAAATATGTCAAGGTTAATTGTGTCCAGAATTGGCCTCAGAGTCTGTGCATGAGTTCATCCGCTCAGTCTCTGGTGTGAATGCTCTATGTCACTGTGAAACATAGAAATAAATAAAAGAGTCCTGAAATTATTCAGTAAGGCACTGTAAAGAGAAACGTCTTCAATTTGCCTAGTTAGGCGTCCACACATAAATGTGTGTTAAAAAATATAGACGCATTAAATAGGTCAAGGAATAAAAAATGGAATATGTCTGTTTGTGTTTAATGAATACCTCTCTGCATTTTATTGTAAGCTCATTTTCTGATTGCACTGTCAGTCTTGAAAATCCCTAGTAGGTGTCAATACATTTGTGCCTCTCAGTTTTAGCACAGCAGGCAATAGACCACATGTACTACAGCAACATTTCACTGAGACTAAAAACAGCACAGCCATCCTCCCCTCTATTAGAGGTCAGTCCAATGCAGAAAACAGCTTCAAAGTAGTTACTGCAGAGCATCCATGACCCTTCCAGTAACATGCCACAAAGTGATGATACATCTTGTTTAACAAGGTTTACAGGAAAGTGGGACTGCGTTTGGGACTGGGGCTGTCTTGGGAAATATGGAATGTGCACAAAATACCGATAAGGGCTAAGTGAGTAACTCAAAGCCCACTTACGTACTTTGTCCACATTTTTGTCCTCTTTTGCTGATTTAACACAGGGGCCAGAGCCAGAAGAAGACAGTTCTGATACTGAAGAACAGCTAGGGAGCTGCCAAGCCACAGAAATCTGTATGACTCCCATCTCATGAAGTTGTTATAACTTTCAAACATTATGGATTCTGAAATGTATCAGTTGCTAACCCATAGCTAAAATGTATTATTAACTTTCTGTAACAAAGCAACACAGATCTTAAAGCTGTATTTATCTCTGCTACGTAATTTTCTTTGTAGGGGCCCTCAGGTGGGTTATGCCAAAATGTGCTAGTATGCACAGCATATTAGTACATTATGGCAGACTTGACTGTCAAACAGTGCCCTCCAGAGCTGCGGAGGAATTGATCTAGCGGAGCTCAGAGGCATCCATCTTTGCACAGTCTTCCTTCCATGTTCCCTATCTTTGACCATTTGATAGGTCTGGCCACGATGACATCACTCCTGCGCATGCGCACAAGAGTCACATTGCCCCGGCACAGATCAGGGCTGTAAATATTAGCTGAGCTGTGCATGCGCTGCTCAGTGAATATGACAGCTGACAGGCAGGAGGATACATTTATGCATGCCTGGTCCGCCTAGTAACTTCATATTGGGCTTC